AGACGCCGGCCATTCACTGAGTGACATCTGCCAAGACCAGAACAAAGGAAATTGAACCAAATCCATCAAGACAGGACTGCATGTCTGCTCTGATATACTGTTGCCTCAGACAGATTAACACAGCAAGAGTGCTACAACTGCACAGCAGACATGTTTACAGAAAGCTGAACCGTAACCACAAAACACACCCCAAAAAAGCACTCCGAACCCTGCAGAATACCATAGCTGCAACACAATATCCCATCCAAACTGAGCCAACTGTCCTCCGACAACTGCTCAGCCCCAGAGCTATCTTTACCGGAGGAGGGAGAATTATCAGAAAACGACAGATGACACAGGAAAACCACTGTGACTTCCTCTTGGGACAACAGTAAGTGTTCACTACACTTTAAATTATAAAGGATTCAAAAGAGTGTATGCAATAGACGAACCATTGGAAATTTTAAAGGGATACTCCACTTTTTTTGGAAATAGGCTCATTTTACCACTCCCCCAGAGTTCAACAATTGGGTTTTACCGTTTTCAAATGTATTGAGACGATTTTTTTTTATATTTAGAAGAATATCAGTAACCAGACAGTTTCTGGTCTCATTGACTTCCATAGTATATTTTTTTCCTACTACGGAAGTCAATGAGACCAGAAACTGTCCGGTTACTGATATTCTTCTAAATATCAAAAAATCAGCTGAATGGATTCGAAAACGATAAAACCCAACTGTTTACCTCTGGGGGAGTGGCAAAATGAGCCTATTTCCAAAAAAAGTGGAGTATCCCTTTAAGGTGGTATAGTTAAACGTTATTACATGCACTTAGCAGTAAATTATGTAAACAGTAAAATATTATATTAATAAGTCTATGGTAAGTACATGTAGTTTATTAATATTACTACTCAGCACTTATTTGAGTTAGTACAATCTCACCATAAAACAAAGTGTAAACGAACCGTTTTTAGTTCCAAAAAGAACTTTTCAGTAAACAGTTCTTAAAAAAACCAGTGTGAAGAACATTAAGAATCTAAAGAACCAGTAGCCGCGTTTCCACCGCAATTACCAGGAACTATTTGTCCCAGGAACTTTTTTCATAGGAACTTTTTTTCCCCCAGACCGCCTGCTTACTGCGTTTACACCGCGGACTGAAGTACCGGTCCGGGGCGGGAAGATTATGGTGACGTTGAACTGCATGCAACTGCTCCTCCCAGTCTGTGCGTTTGTTTTGAGTTTTGTATGGAGGAGATTCAAGCTGTGCTGCTTTTGTGAGCGATTGGTTTACTAACAAGGTAATTACCAAAACGGCAGAAAAGAGACGAGCACCCAAAGCGTATTCAGATATAAAAGTAGACGTTTGTTATCAGCGGATATTGACCGTGAGATGGATGGGACGAACGCGCGCCATCGGGCAGAAAGAACAAGTGGTAAGAACCAATCAGCATGTTCAGCGCACAAGTCCCACCCCGAAAGTTCCCAAACTCTGAAAAAGTACTACCTCGCCAGCAGGGACTTTCTGGGCGGGAAATTTTTACCCGGAACTTCATTTAAACCCTGGTTCCTGCAGTGTAAACACACCGAGTACCACCCCAGATAGCAAACTGACATTGAATCAACGTGGAAATATGACATAGAAACAACGTTGATCTGACATTGTTTTGCTCATCGAATTAACGTTGAACCAACGTCAGACGCGTCATTCTTTCAAAACTAACGGAAAATCAACTTGAAATCAACGCGTTGTTTCAACGTTATGAAAGCAAACCAATTTTCGATTTTCATTTAGCTTTGAAGAATGCCGCGTCTGACGTTGGTTCAACGTTAATTCGATGAGCAAAATCAACGTTGTTTCAATGTCATGAGAGACGTCGTTTCCACGTTGATTCAATGTCAGTTTGCTGTCTGGGACCCCAAAGTTCCTATTTCCTGGGGAAAGTTCCTGCGGTGGAAACGCGGCTATATAGAACCTTCGGATTGTTCCATGGATGTTAAGCCCCGGACACACCAAGACGACGTCCAGGAACTAGCAGTGACGAAAGCTGATTGTGTTGTCGCCTCTTGGACAAAAAGTTGCACTTGAACACGTCAAAAGGACTAAAGTTTACTGTCAACAAGCAGGTATCAATAGTCTATTTTCGTCACTCAAAAAGGAAAAGTGAAACTAGGACTGAAGATGAGAACCCTAAACAAAGCAGCGTTTTCTTATCATTTCGAATATCAATCACACTGATCACTTTCTTCATTCCAGTCGGCTCAGTAATCAAGATAAAATCATAACAGCCTTCGGTCTGTACCGACCGTCTTCACTTCTTTGCTCGCTTTCATCACTTTCGATTTTATCCTCGTTCCCTGGGCTCAATCAGAGTTATCTCTCTCACCGATGGCCCGACGCCAATTCTATAAGCTCAATCGGAACCAAAAAAACAAGATGGCGTCCGATTAGAGCCAATAGTGCGGAACACAACGAAAAACTAAGCCGATCATCGCTTAAAGATGTAGTCCGAATGTTGGCTAGGTGTGTCCTAAAGCTCCGCCCCCTATGCTATAAATACCACGTGACCAAAGCGACCTCTGACATGTCACAGAGCAACATGGGTTGGAGATGTGAGTTCGGTCCGAGTTTTATTTCATTTTCCAACTGTACGTTGGTTAAGAATGAAATGGCATTTATTCACACCTCTACTATTGAATCCAACTTATCATCAGCACTCTGATTCGCTTCCATGGTGCGGTGTGAGGTAAACTGAACTCTATTAGCTATTTTGAAAGGGGGGAGTGGCAATTCAATATGTCCCGCCTCAGCTTCCTGTTTCAGTGGAAAACGTCAACGCATCATACAAAGCTGTGCGTTCCAAGGCACATCAGTGGAACCTTAAAAGGTTCTTCATGGAACCAACGTTGCCAATAAGAACCTTTATTTTTAAGAGTGAGCAAGCAAACGTTGGTGGGCCAGATTACGCATTTTAGTCACATTATCTTATGTCACTTTAGATATTCTTAAACAAGGATCTGACCTTTCTGATGTCATTTGCTGTAAATTGTTCTCTAGCAACCCCCCTGGTTCCTCGCACAGTCACACTACCCATCATGCCATGACACATTTGTAATTGCCAGCAATTCCGACCCCCCAAGAGCCTAATCCCTGTAGGCCGGAGTTGGACAGCCACAGCATTGTATCGGGATCATAATATGACAGAACAATGACACTGGAACAAAAATGGATCTGAAATAATTAGAGAGATTTGACCTCGCATATTCTGAATTCATATACAATGACATCTTAAAATAGTCTGTATTACTAGAATAGTTGAATCATCCCAAAAATTATATACATTATCCCAAACAAAAGCAGAAGAGATAGATCTGGAGCCGTGAGATGAAGGCTACAGGGGGTCGGGCATCCGTCTTAAACCTTTTGTTTGCAGAGAGGATAGAAGGGAACTATTAACCAAGACAATAGGATGAACTGACTTACAAAGCCAAGATTTAGCAGCATGACGAAGCCAAACCAACCTGCACCTGCTGCGAAACGCTTCATTTTGACTCGAGTTGCGTAGAGATATGAGGAGAAAGCAATGCCAAGAAACCACCCTGTTGATTTTCACTGGCCCTAAACAATGAAAACACCAACGTCGAGACGAAAAAATACCCCAGTGCAAAGAGTTCACCCGGGATCCTCTCTAAACTCAAAGTACATTTCTAAAAAAAGAGCGCAGTCAGATTAATTGCTCCTGGTTGTTTTTTTATTATGCAGAAATATCAATACTTCACAGTAGACGATTGGATGATATCGAGCTACTGTGGTCTGTATCTCGTATAAATGAACAGGGTGTAGACAGATAAACTGCACCAGCGGGCGTGTATTTTGGAAGGTTGGGTCCCGTAATTAATTCCTGCGGTATAATTACACTCGTCTTTATTTGCGTTGATGGTTCCATGAAACACCTTTAACATCTGGATCTTTCCACAGCACAAAAGGCTTTTCATAGTGGAAAAGGATTCATTAGATGTTCCTCAAACTAAGAAAAAAAAGGTTATTTTATATTAAATGTTCTTTGCGGAACTAATAATTGTTCTATGGAATCACTGCAAAAACTCCCCATTGGAACCTTTATTTTTAAGCCTGCATGAGGTCATTACGTTGTTTTACTTAAAAAGCAGATACACATAGGATTAAATATGTAAATATATTCACATTCTGATACGATCCAGTACAATAAAGCCTTCATACCGGCACATCCAGTCTCTGTAATACATTGTATATGGACTGGTAGTCTATGGTTTTTATACTTAATTATACGCCTATAGACCGAAGAATAGACCGGGTCATATAGTATGTACCGGGTGTGTGTGAATATATTGTGTATGAAGCGGGTGTGTGAATTGAATATATTGTATGAGGAGCGGGCGGTGGAGGAGGCGTAGAACAAAAGAGCTCGAACAAACGGACGAGCGGAAAGTTTCACTGCATCTTTTCCACACCAAAAAAACATAACACTTATGAAAACCGTGCTATAATTTCTTTATCATCATCTGTCAACCCTATATGTGTTTTCTAAAGGACTGTCCGTGATTAAATTCATCCACAGCACGAGTGGGTTTGGCGTCACCGCCCAGGCATCCACCATTTAAACGGGCTGAAAGGATGAACAAGGCAACCCTGAATAAAAGAAGGCAATAAATGCCGTTTAACACACAATTAAACAGCTAAAACAACCAAACAGGTTGCGTGCGATAGATTTAAGCCTATGAATCAAACCGGTGTGAAACCTGATCGCGTCAGTGGCATTTTCATCTGATGATCTCATTTAGGCGATTCCGCCGGCACTTCCATTATAATGACCGATGTGAACAAGAACTCATAAATATTCATTTACATATCAATGCATTCAGTCGTAAATCACGCTGGTGAATGAAACGCATCTCTTAAATTGACAATGACATTTATTAATTCGTTCTGGCACAGTGAAAAACGCTTTTAATGAACCACCACTTGTTTCTCGGGTGGAATCTTACCGAATTTGAAAGCGCTTTTCCTCCAGCAACGCCCAGTCGGTACTCGCGTCTCCTCCCGTTTCTTTCCGAACGGGACGCTGGTGGTCAGCGATGTGAATCGAGACGAAACAAGCAACAAATGTTGAGATATAAACCAGTAGAGTGAAGCTCTGACGGAGACTGTGTGAAGCTCACTGACTGACTGTCTACCGGCGAGAAAGAGATGCGCGCGTCTCCTCCTGGCAGCAGAGAATGAAACAACGCTTGGCGATCCGCGCACGCACGCGCACACGTTACCGGGCGAGAGAGAGAAAGCATTGAAAAGGATGAAAAGCGCAAGCGGCTTCGGTTTCTCCCGCCAGTGACCAATCAGCGCTCAGACTGAGATTTATGCAAATGAGGGATGATGTCATCGCACAGGCCACCCCGCGTTCTTTCTTTCTACCGTTCTTTACGCGCCATATCCCTCTTCTTTTCTTCGGCCCCGGACCCCAATGCGAGCCCCTGCCCCCCACGCCCGCGTTCCCGCCGTTTCTTTACACTTTCACTTGTCCACACAAGAGACACACACACACACACACATACAGGGCTTGGTGGTTTATATCAGTAACTAAAACTTAAAAGTAATAAAAAAAACATTTTCGTTTAGCAAAATATAATGAAAAGGCTAACTTATTTTTGTTTCATGTAGTTGCAAAAGTAAAATTTAATTTTAGTTTAAGTTCAAGTATTAAAGTAGCTTAACTAAGTAATAGTGAAATAAATTTATAAAAACATATTTAAAAAAATAATAAAAATGTCAAAACACAAATTTACCAGCACTTTCTATATCAACAAACATATAATACAATATTAATGATACTAAAAAACAAACTGTAAAAAAAGTTGCCATTTCAACTTAAATTAGGCTACATTAAACTGACTTAAAAAAAACAAGTTGGATCTTGTATAAAAGTTATTTAAAAAAATGCTTAACATTTTGATGAGCTAAAGCAAACTAAGAAATTATGTTGTCATAACTTATCTTTTATTTTTATTTTTACAATGAGCTTCTTTTTTCCTGCATCAGATTTGACCCAATGCAAAATATGTCCCAACTCTATACAAAATTATTGAAATGAATCCAGCTGAACAGGAAATCTGACCATTGATGGGATTCGCTCAGCATTTTCACCTCCCTTTTAAAATGTGCCACACCTGTTTACTTTGCCATCACAACTCTGCATGGATGCATTGTTGGTAATATTTTATCATTTACACGAGTCTCAGCGACACATTTTGATCCAGATAAAACAAGAAAGCTCAATAGGTTTGGGGATAAAATGGCAAATCAAAGCCATGTTGGGGCAGCATTAAGAGTAAAGGACATCTCTGTTCGGATTTATTTGGCTAACACACCTGTTCTCACTTCATTCACTTGCATAGGGATCAAAACACACATTAGTCCTACTATCTGCATGTGGTTTGCTTCAGACTGCTGCTCTCACACAAGTCTTTGTCTTGGTTTCTCTGGCGAGACACAGGGAGGGCTTTCGTCTGTCTGCCTCTGCGTCTGTCTGACAAACAAAGCTGCGCGTAAATGTTCCTCCAGCAGAAGCTGAGGCGTTTCTGTTGTGTTTATTCTCTCTGGGTTCTGCCAGGTCACATGAGTCAGGATGAATTTTATTTGAGTAAGTTACGTAGACAGTCAAACCCAAATGTGTTCAGACACCTTCAACATTTCTCACATTATCACAGTTTATTCGCTATAGTTTAGAAAACGGTAAAATATGAGCAGAACTCAGAGTGATCAGATCAGTGGATCTTTCACAGGTTTTGGCTGTCCTTTGTCCGTAAAAATGATAGTGTCTGAGTGATTTTTGGTTTGACATTTTATTATATGTGGTTGTCAAGGTTGGATAGCAACGGAACTATGACATCACAGTGCACTTACGACCTCACGCTTAGCAACAGCGCCCAGGCAAAATAAAGGGTGACATTTTAGAGAGTGCGCTCTTACGCCAGTGTGTTGGTGATCGACGTTTTGGGAGCACACAAAGAGAGGAAATATCCTGACCCTTGCGGTAGGGGACGGTGCCGAACCGGCAGGAAGGGGCGGGGCCTTTGAGCCGCCACTCACTTCCTATGCTATTTATCTGATTGTTTTTCCCCCAATGCCGGCGATGGGCCCTGCAGCTGGGCAACACAGCTCAAGAACACTGGCACCGTGTCAAACACACACTCGCACAAAAACACAAGCCCCAGCTAGCAAACATGCCGTCAAAGCAGACGGGAACAAACACTCCCTGAAAACAGAAAACCTGGATTCAGAAACTTCAGAGCAAAACCATTTCCAAAACCATTTCCAATAGTTTGTTTTCTACTCCGACAAACCAATTTTAGCATCTAAATAACATATTAATGAAATTAAGTGATTCTTTCTTCTGACGTCAAAGTCAATGTATTTATATTTTAGCCGACCGGCCATCAAATTCATTCACAGCAAATTAAAAACATATCAATGGCTGTAAAAGCCCATTCACACTAAGAATGGAAACATTGGCTGCCAATCAGAATCCACCAGGCTTTTACGTCATCGTCCATTATTAAGATAATTTTGTTCTAAGTGTGAATGGACCTCATTTTCTTTCAGTAACGTCATTTACAATGTTTCATATAAGAACGTATGATTTGGAAACACCTTTTTACTTCTCTTTTCTAATTCTGTTCTCTTGTGTTCAGTGATTGGTCTCTCAGGTTGGTTTGGTTCATGACTCAGAACTATAGGAAAATAGGTTTGCTTCTGAAACCAAAGGCACAGAAAGTGTCTCACTAACCACATTTACATGCAACCAAATCTGTTTGGATTGATCGGACTGAAAAGGCTTCATGTAAATCCGTCTGACTGAGCTCGATACCAATGAAGGGATGTGCAGACCTGGAATAATAAGATCAATAGGGGGAAAATTAGTGTGTAAATGCTTGAATCTGACAGTTTTCTCAATAGGATTTAAAAAAATATATATGTATATAAAATATAAATATATAATAATATGTAAGCTATTTTAGATATACCATCAATCAAGACAAAAATGGCAGTTTTAGGCCACTTCTGAACATTATTGTAGTGAGTGTGACTGGCGTATGGAGCAGAAACAACACAACCTCGGCGTCCCTTATCAGGCCTTCCTGCTTCAGTCTCTCCAGGACTGAAAAGCTTTTCTAATATTGACATCGTTTGAATAAGTGTGAACGCTGCCATCTGAACCCTGGTTCCACCAAACAAGATGAGTCTAGGGTCCACTGTCAGATGAGCTCTGGTGCGGTTCCACTGAAATATGAATGCAGCACGGACCGAAGACAGGTCAACGACCTGTAAACGTATCTGTATCTTCTGGTCGCGATGTTGCCCATCACAGTTCGGTAAAGGTGCCAGAACCGAATATAGACCCCTTGGAAAAGATTCCATACTGCAGATTGGGTCCCTTACTCCTCCCCCATCATTAATGGACACACCCCCTAATGCAATTTGGGTCCCTCACTCCTCCCCCATCATGAGTGGACACGCCCCCCTAATGCAGATTGGCTCACTCACTCCTCCCCCATCATGAGTGGACACGTCCCTACTGCTCATTGGCTCTCTCACTCCTCCCCCATCATTAGTGGACATTGCCAACTACTGCTGATTGGCCACAAGTTTGTTGTGGTGCTCCTTTAGATCCCTTTTCATTAGAATTTTTTAGAGATTTGAAGTCAAATTGGATTAATTAGGATTTAACATGCTTAGCCTATCATGCACTAATATACAGGCATGCATATTTAACAAGTAAAACATTAAAAATCACCTTTCTTACAAACACATAGCTACACACAAAAGCCGTATCTTACCAGAAACACTCTCCAAGCAAACACGCAGATGGGAGTGTGTCGGCATTCTGCACGGATGGATAAGGCAGCGCATGCAAATGGTGCGTTCAAACACACACACACACACACACACACACACACACACACACACACCCACACACACACACACACACACACACAAGCTGCAGCACGGTTACCCTGGAGACACGAACATGCCGTCACTGCACCTATTTAACATTCAGCTTCTGAACGCTAATGAAGCACACGCTCGAGCACGCATCGTGCGCGCGACACCCCCGACAACATTACGAGAAAGGAAATATGATGAGTAACATTATACCGCTGCTTTAATTACATTAGGAGGTCTCGGCATATTAACCATTAGATATAGCCTAATGAATGTAGTTTATGAGAAAGTTTATGGAACTGGATCTTAAATAGGCTACACAGGGTGACTGTATGACCTTTGACTAAACTCTCTTGGTTACTTTTGCCTTCTCGAGCCTTTTGTTTCTGTGTGAGGAACAGGAACAATTATATAATCTCTTAGCATTTTATATTTTAGAATTTTCGGAATAAAATTGATATTCTAACAAATTTTGATTTATAGATAATAAAAAAAAAATAGAAAAAAATAAATAAATCCCAAACTAGTAATTCTTCACCTCATTACTGCACGTCCCATATAGGAATGAATAGTGTAACTAGCAATAAAATGGTAATTAAAGTAATAAAATAGCAATAAAACGGAATGGATATTATTCTTACGTGGACTAATGACGTGTGTTGCACATTTAAAAAAAAAAAATATTGTTATGCAGGTGGTTCCTCTTGCATGGGTTCTTGTCCTTTCAGGTCAGCGGATTCACACACACCTTGATAAGCACATTATTAAACTGCATTAGCAGTCTGCATCCTCTCTGCATTAGCCTATATGTGTGGAAGCTCTTCCCCTTCACATCTTTAGCAATGCATGACCTTTTGCTTCCGCTTTTAGGCCCAAGGACAGTGAGAACACCCTAAAAGACTCGAAGAGGTTCCAGTCCTGCGTTGAAACCCTCTCCAGCATCAGTAAAGCTAGTCTGGAACAAACAGCGTGTGGATGAAATATTGATGCGTCAGGTGTCCGGCTGACAGGTAACAGGCCTCATTTACTGCAGGACACTGAGGAACGAGACTCTTCTCTCCTGGGACTCGACTCACTCCATCCGAGGGTCGATTGAGCCTCTTCCTGCACTCAATAATGCATGTCAGTGTTAAGAGAACCAGAGCACACGTCTGATCAAATCTGCGTCTGAAAGGTCATTTCTCCCAGGATACGAGCCTATCTTCTCAAACGGAGAGAAGATACACCAACTGACGTCTTCATGACAACAGAAAACACTCGGTCTCTGTGTGAAACGCGGATCTGAGTTCTGTGACTAAAGCGGAGAGGCATTCGACAGGTCTGCCAGCTTTCATTTATCAATGTCATTTTTATTGTGTCTGTTTCTTCAGTCGTCTGGCTCTACATTCACAACCACTCCTCCCTATTTCTTTCTGTATTTCTTTCTCCTGACGGTTAGTAAATGAACTGAAGCGCTGGTGGTGTGTGATGTTCACTGCTCCACCTGCTGGACACACACTTCAACAACACCACACACCTGCTCTTAAAGGGACAGTGCAACTAAAAATGAAAATCCTGTCTGTTGTTCCAAACCGGTTACTGACCACAAAAGGAGAAACAGTTATAAAACAGTTGATTGACTAACATTATCATTATAATAATAATACTCTAATAATAATATTCTTTTGTCTTCAACAGAGGAAAGAAATCAGTGAGAATTTAAGAAGCCAAAATCGCTAACTAGTATTTTGTGATTTGATGAAAATGTATTAAAAAGTTTAGTTTTATAATTGTAGTTTTTTTTTTCTTTATGAAAATTTGAAAAACTTTGCAGGATTTACGACACTGATGAACGTTGAAACTTTGGGCCACATAATTATTATTACTACCACTACTATGGCTAAAATTATTTAAATTATATTATGCTAAAAACTATTGTTATAAGTCTAGAAATGAGTCAATAAATTTCTTAAATCTTCTGTAATTACAAAACGAATTTAATATATTTTAATTTAATTCATTAATTAATATTTTAAATTAATATATATATATATATATATATATATATATATATATATATATATATATATATTAGGGCTGTGCAAAAATTAATTGCGATTAATCGCATCCAAAATAAAAGTCTGTGTTTACATAATATATTTGTGTGTGCTGTATATAATTATGTTGTATATATAAATACACACACATGCATGTATATATTTAAGAAAATGTGTTATTCATATATAAAATATTTATTTTTATATAATATAGATTATGTATTTATAAATATATACAGAATTTAAGCGCAAATAATTCTTAAATATATACATGCATGCATAGGTATTTATATATACAAAATAATTATATAAAGCACACACAAATATATTATGTAAACACAGACTTTTATTTTGGATGCGATTAATCGCAATTAACTTTTGCACAGCCCTAATATATATATAAATCTGTATTTGTGAAAAAATATGAAATAATATGCTCACCCGTCTTCTTTTTTTCAGATGAAACACCAAAGGGGAAATATTGAAAAATATTGATCTGTCAAACTTCAAAAAGACAAAAACACCCTAAAAGCACCAGAAAATAGTCCATATGAAAAACAAAAAACCCCAGACATGTTCACTATGAACAGTTTCATTCAATAGAATTTTTTTTTTGTTGTTGAAAAAACTAAATATTTATCTGTTAATGAGGTCATAGAAACTGACAATAATATTAACAAAAAACAACAATGAAAAAAACAACATTAAAATGTCTAATTGCCTTATATTATCTCCTCAATTATGATCACTGATGCGTGTCAGGGTGTTTAACTGGATATATAAGTATAACCAAACAGCGAAACACACAGTGACACGAACAGAAGGAGCTTCAGAGATTTAATCCATAAACCTGCAGATGTTTGATGTTGACATTCACAGAAGTGTTAAGTGTTACAATGTGTCTGAAAACAGAGAGAGACATCGAATCTCTGCGTATGAATCAACCATGAATTAAACATACACATTCAATCTCTCCAAATAAATTACGAACAAAAAAATATGTGCAAAACTGCATTGTAAAAAAACAAAAAGCAACACAAATATTCCCTTTGTTAAAAATGAGTGTCACTATCTGAGGCTTTCACTAAAAGATGAGCCCAAAAGCATCTCGCCTCACAGGTAAAAAATGTAAACAAAATACAGCATTTTAAATCATTTAGATCACTATAATCATAAAACGACACAAACAGAAACAATAACATCAAGGCAAAACCAGCGTCTGATAAATCTGAACGGATCTGCATGACTAATATCATAAATATGCTCATAAATATCCTACAATCATCATAATCATGAGTTTTTGTTCCCTTTCTGCCCTGAAGAGACCTGGTCCCTCATTCACACACACTGCGTATGCCTTCTCAATTACTATTTATGAATCTAATTAAGCATTATAAGACACACAAGTCATTTCGAGACGATATTATCATGAGCACAAACACACTCGAAGCTTCACCGCTTCAGTGAGTCCCTGATGGGCTGACCCGTGTGTGTCCAGAACACAGGGAAAACCTCTCTAGATGCCCAGGGCTTCTCCAAACACCAGTGTGTGTGTGTGTGTGATGCACTGAAGGAGGAAATGCACTGGAGACAGATACAATACACCAACCACATTAATATTCATGACTAACCTGCAAGCTATGCTTCCTTTAAACCACATTCACACACACACACACACTAGAGAAATCTGAAACAAAGCACTGAAGAGCGTCAGAATGTCCATATGATGCCAATAAATCACAAATATCCTACTGTGCTTATGAAACACATAAGGAAACGCATATATCCACACATTTAAAATTGTATTTTCTGAAAATGACTTACAAAAGCATCAAATCAGATGTGGGCGATATGAAAGCATATGAGCGGAGTAAACATGATCAGGTGACGTATTCATTACACGAATAATCAACCGTTTTAAATTAGATTGACCCTGTTCAAATAAATTACTAAATTGTTATTATTTTTTTAAAACAGAACGTCATTGTGTAGTATTATTAAATCGATGCTTATTTAAATAAACATTTGTTGCATTGTGACATATACATTAAAAATGTGTTTAATTTTCTCTCTAATTATTTCTATCCATCTTGTATTTGAATGTGAAACTTATATTTATGCAGATTTAAAATGGAAAATAATTCCAGCAATTAAGAAAAAAAGAGCCAACTTCTTATTTTTTTGTGCGTTTTTAAGGTGAAACGTCACGAGATTCACCAAAAACACCTGAAATATACAGTTATTAGAGTTATATGTCGTATTTCATCCGGAAATATGAATAAACATGAACTATGTCTCATGTGCGCGTTAGATAACACGTCTATGTTTTTGCATTATGACATTATTTTCATGACAAAATCTCTCGAAACTATTTGTGTCAGGCATTTGTTGTACTTTCCATTTGAATCTTAAAATCTTAAATTCATGCATAAAAAGTACTTTTATTTTTAAAAGTCATGAAAATAATCTCACAAAGCGAAACATCATAATAGTCCTAAAAACGGCTTACTTTTTTTTTTTTTTTTTTAAATCCCAAAATATTTTTTTCTGTCTGTAATCTGACCTGGACATGTTTGCTGTGGCTCCTCAAACCCCTGAAGGTCCTGTGTGGGGTGTGTGTTGGTGTGTGTGAGAGTGTTGTCCCTCCTCGCCTCACTTCACCTGTTCTAGACACAAGACGCTCATGAATATGCAAACAGTCTCTGCTCGTTCATCATAACGGATTTACATATCAAATAACAGTTTATCTGTGAACAAACAAACATAGGAGTGCGTGTCCATCCCGATTCCCCAGAAACACACACACACACACACTCTAGCTGAAGCAGCAGAAGAGTGAGCAGGTCGACGGCTCGGGACAGTGGAAGTTTCCGGAGGTCGGCGTGTCGGTGCATTCGGCGATGAACCGGTGCAGTTCAGACGGCTGCGGCACCTCTTGTGTTTGTTGCTGGAACACACACACACACACACACACAGCTGATTTTAAACATTTCAGACAGGCGTTTTTAAAGGGGTCCTAATCTGCTTTTCCACTTCTTCAACTGCAGTTAGTGTGTAATGTTGCTGTTCGAGCACAGAAAGCTTACAAAGCTCATAGTCACTCCAAAAAAAGGGATGTTTTCTGGTATAATGCCCCTTTAACAAGGTTAACCCTCTGGGGTTGTTCGTTTCAGAGTCACACTCGGGGTGTTCGGGTCCAAATGGACCCAAAGTGCGGGATTCATATTTAAAAACTCGTTTTTTTTTTAATAATATTTTTTCTTTTCTTTTTTGGTGTTTTGAGAACATTTCAAAAATAAAAATAAAATTATAATTAGTATTAATGCAATAATTATGACAAAATTTCCCCCCATTGAACATAATAGAAAAAAAATATATATATGAAGAGTTCAGATGCAAAAGCCTCTAAATACCATTTGAAATTTTCTTCTTTAATGATGATTTTTATCAAGCTTGTATATTTAAGTTCAGTAATTTCACTTAAATGGCAATGATAATTACCTATTAATTGTTATTTAAGTGAAATTACTGAACTTAAATATACAAGTTTGACAAAAATCATCATTAAAGAAGAAAATTTCAAATGGCATTTAGAGGCTTTTGCATCTGAACTCTTCATATATATATATTTTTTAAAGCTGTATTTCATTTTAGAGTCAAGCCTAGGCCTCATAAAAGCAATTTTTGAAATAAGATGGATGCCATCTGGTGGACAAACTGAGCATTTTAAAAATGCAAAACACATGTATAATCTGAATTTTTGGTGTGTTTGTGTGTGTGTGTGTGTGTGTGTGTGTGTGTGTGTGTGTGTGTGTCTCTTGATGTTTTATAGATTCACCCCTTCACTGTTGTGTGCTTTTTTTCAAGATCGTGACTGATTTGTAGATTGTACGCACAAAAAAGCTCAGTATTTTCACATTTTTGCCAATTTCCCATTCATTTTCCATGAACACCCCAAGTGTGACTATTTTTTTTTTACAACCACTTAGACTATTCAAATCCTGTCCCCAATTTTTTGGGGTGTTCAAATACCAAATACCAACAAAGTCACCAAATTTCGGACCATTCTGAGGAAGCTGTGATTTAAAAAAAAAATTGTATTTAAATTATTCGGGTCCATTTGGGCCGAACAACACCAGAGGGTTAAAATAAGTCTCTGTTGTCCCCAGAGTGTGTATGTGAAGTTTTAACTCAAAATACCCCACAGATATATTTATATATAATGTTTAAAATTGTCACTTTTTGAGGGTGAGCAAAAAACGCAAACTATTTTTGTGTGTGTCCCTTTAAATGCAAATGAGCTTCTGCTCTCAGCACAGAGGGCGGAGCTTCAATGGCTGTTAGCAGCTCTGATTACCTCACTCAGACACACTGAAATGTCAGAAACTGTTCTGCCTTTCATGTTAAAACCGGAGTCAGACCAAGATGGAGAGACTCAAGAAGAAGTGACACATGTAGACGTTTCTGAACGGTTAGTTGGTGAATTTACAGCAGCTTCTAGTGATTAGCATATTCTGTCATGATAATTGTTCCAGGGGGCGGGGTTTATGTTAATTTTAGGGGTAGTGATGTCACTAGTTCTCACCAGCTGTTTGTTGTAGTCTTTAAAAAACAGCAAATATCTTCCTTTGCTTTGAACGTAACTTTGCAGATGTTGTTTATGCTCATTACACACTAACTTAAGTTAGAAAAGTGAAATTATAACCAACCACCCCTTTTAAGTATGTCATTTTTATTGAGATTGAGTTTCAGTAATCGTGTAAGTGCGGTTTGTGTTGACTCACGGTGATGGTGTCGTAGGCTCCGGTGATGAGCGCGATGAAGAGCGACAGCACCATGTAGATGAAGAGCGAGATGAAGGTGTAGAGGTACACCTGACTGAAGACCCACACCAGCGCCCCGCTCTGCTCCATGTCCGAGAAGGTGGCGAACATGTCGTCTCCGTTGATGAGGGAAAACAGGCACTCGGACACCGTGGAGAGAGAGCGGAACTGGTGGAGAGACACAGAGGACATGTTCAATGCTTGACGACAATCAACGGGATTCAGAAAACTGTGGATGTGCTAGTTTGGTGATTTACAAGATATTGACCAACAATTGATTCAACTCCTCTTGATAAACAATAAATGTTGTGCTGTTATTTCCATCAATTTTCACTCAAGATCCGGTCTTGTGAACTCTGTAAAGTCTCCTCAGCACATCCCAAACACTCTCAGTGGATTTAAGATCTGGACTTCATGGGCCGTCTCATAAACCCGGCGCAATGCTAGTTATTATTAAGCCACATTGTTTTTTCATTCATCCCTCATGGCTCAATTTGCCCCCCATAGGAATGAATGTAATGTGAGGAATGCTTCAGTACACATAGAAAAAACAAAAAATGCTCTTTTTAGAAGAGAAAATGAAACTTTAACAAAAAAATGTGTTTATAATGTCCACGTGTATCTGAATGCAAACTTAATGAACTGACTTTAAGACCCAGAGGAAACTGCTGATTTAGCTAGTCTAGTTGCAAGAGTCATGAAATATCATGTTATATTATTATTTGTCCACAAGAGGTCGACAAAGATATAAAATATTTTGAGCTGAATTAATAGGGTAATGCATGAAATTGTGAATCGTTTTGAATTTAAGTAGAAATAATGTGAGGAATGTGTTTAAATTAATATTTATTTATTATTTATTGATCAAATCTAGTATTTTAATGATAAATAAAATAAAAAAATATCAAAAAATTGCATTAAAAATAGAACAAATTGTCAAAATAAGCTTTCACAACAAAAAAAATATTAATAAGTGAACCTGCGGCGTGTGCTTTAGACCATGAGGTTAGATCTGTAAATATGGCCTTATGTGTGATAATGATTATTCCTGCTCCTCACAACCTTTCCATTGTCATCCTGGAATATGAGCATGATGTGTGTCCTACATGGTTGTGTATGACATGAAAAGCTACACACTCCTTCGGTTCGGGTATAAGAACTGTTGCCAAACACATAACATGCTAGAAACATAATAATCACTGCAATAATGATCCAATCACAGACTCTTCAGCATTTGCCTATTTAATCCGAACAGTGATGTTTGTTTTACTGAAGTGTGACGTACTTTGGCGTGGTAGGGTCCCAGGACGATCCAGCCGCAGAAGCAGTAGCCCATGTAGATGGCGGCGGCGCAGCAGCAGAAGCGGATCACGCTGGGGAACGCGGCCCGCAGAGTCACGATCAGGATCTGAACACACACATCAGAGGACTCACTCGCTCAATTCACTCTCTCACGGTTTTCACTTGCTTATATTTAACAGAAAATATGTCGAAAAAGGAAAGAAAGAGGTAATGTGAAATTTTAAAATAATTCTGGGTCATATTTCAAGACAAAATCAAGAGAAATCATTACTAGCATAAAGACAATAAAGAAAATACCGTTTTATGAGCCAATTAAAGAGTCTAATTTATTAAAAAATAGAAAGAAAGAGGAAACGTGAAGCTCACAAAGCCTGTCAAAAAATGTCAGGGTCATCAAAAGCAAAAGCAAATATAATTTAATAATTTAAAATTAATTATTATTTTTACTAGCATAAAGAAATGCCTATTTTTATAACTATTTTATGGCCCAAGATTTTGTACATTGATAATTAAATGAAGTACATTTCCCCAAATAAAACAATAAAAAATATTTTTTATTTCAAATTTGTACAGTAAAATCACTATGTATTTTTGTCTTACTGAATTTAGTTCAAGCCGATTTGAATAAAAGTTTTAATATCGCAGGAAAATACTGTATTAGTAGGAAGTAGGAAGAATATCATCGAGGATAAAGAAAACTAAAAATAACCATTGAGTCAGATTCAAATAATGAGAATGAGACATTTTTTGTCTTGATTTTGGGGTGAAATGTGACTTTTACACAGAAATATTGCCAAAGTCCCTTTAAGACGAGTCATTTCACTCGGCGGCCATCTTTGAAATGTGAAAAGTGCACCTCCTGTCTCTTTGAATGGGGAAACATCAAATTCTCCAAAACTGTTCGCCAAGATTACGGTTCAATTTCATGTTTGAAATCACCAATGAAATCTGACAACAAATGTCTCATCTATTTTATGTGAAATTATTCTGGTTGGATCAAGCTAATTTGAAACTTAGCTGTTTCTATAGCAACCAAGGCTTCTAACCGCAGCTGCAGTGATGCGATGACTTTACCAATCACTGATTGGCTCTTATTTAGAAGGCGGAACTTATTCCACCATATTGATTTTCCCCATTCAAAACAATACTAGAGATGCGTCTTCTGTATTCTGTAGTCTCTGGCATTGCTCAATGGGACTTACGTTGTATTTCTGGAAGAAGCTGAAGTATCGTAACACCCCGACCCAAACCATCAGGGTGGAGGTTCCCATCAAGATACTGCAGACGTCATACGACGACAGGTTCTGCGACACAAACACGAGCATCAGTCAGACCAGAGCGCTCTGAACACTGCGGTACCTCTCAGGAGAGCGCGCGACCTTGGTCTCGATGGCGATCTTGATGAAGGAGGCGATGATGGTGAGCACGTCGCTGATGATGAGCAGGAGGTACCAGCCGTTGATGAACTCCAGCCGGTCGGCCCAACACACCGGACGGCCCAGAGACTGACGGAAATAACACACAAACTCCTGCCGGCGCAGGGGAGCCGCGTTAGGAAAACACACAAAAAAAACTTTTGCTGATGATTTACTCACCCCCATGTCATCCAAGATGTCCATGTCTTTCTTTCTTCAGTCGAAAAGAAATGAAAGTTTTTGATGAAAACATTCCAGGATTTTTCTCCATATAATGGACTTCAATGGGAACCAAACGGTTCAAGGTCCAAATGAGAGTTTCAGTGCAGATTCAAAGGGCTTTAAACGACACCAGACGATGAATAAGGGTCTTATCAAGCGAAACGATCACTCATTTAACAAATAAATACAAAAGTGTAAGTTTTATAAGCTCAAATGGTCGCCTTGCTCTGTTCTGTGATGCGCATTCGTGACGCTTCTGTTCAAACTCGTTCATCAAAATGAACGAATCTTTTTCCGAGTCATTTGGTTTGTTCAACAAGCATTTGTGCTTGTAAAACTTTGTTATTTATTTTTTAAATGAGTGATCGTTTCGCTAGATAAGACCCTTATTCATCGTCTGGTATCGTTTAAAGCCCTTTGAAGCTGCACTGAAACTCTCATTTGGATCTTGAACCGTTTGGTTCCCATTGAAGTCCATTATATGGAGAAAAATCCTGGAATGTTTTCATCAAAAACCTTCATTTCTTTTCGACTAAAGAAAGAAAGACGCGGACATCTTGGATGACATGGGGGTGAGTAAATTATCAGCAAATGTTTTTTTTTTTTTAAAGTGAACTACTCCTTTAAATTGTGTGTGGTTTCCTAACGCAGCTCAAAAGTTTCCTAAAAGTGAACTAACCCTTTATCTGCATTTACACAGCAAGTCTTCATGCACAGATCTGATCTTTTGACCATATCGGACTGTTTACACTCACTTTAGACAGGACTATTGTCTGATAGGAGTACCGATACCCTCATTTTACAATCCGATACATATTATAATACTGAACTCACAATAAGATATTATTGCGATACTCCAAGACAAATGATAAAGGTTAACTAAAAATGAGCTGTTGATTAAAATGCTAAATTTGGTGTTACATTAGTGTGTGTAAATGAATCGTCTTGGACAATAGAGACACCAGTATAACAATATTCATGATCCTCAAGCTGAAAATACTGAATTAGTTTGCACTCTTTCACTGAATAGATATGTGTAAAATAATATAGGACAATTTTTACTGGTAACATCAGACATTTGGGATTATCAGGACATTATTATACATTATATTCAACATTATATACAGTGGTTTAATGTAGTACTGACACTAAAACTCATTTTGGGTGAATTATACACAATATTATCACTTTCCACTATACATATTGTTGAATTATTGTATTGTGATATAATGTGACACGATATATTGTTACATTGCTGATATCTGATAGATCTGTTTACATTCATTTCCACCCAAAAATGATTTTCTGTGATTGTTTTACTGTGCACATGCAAGACCAGAACTTAGTTTTAAAGGTCCGTGCTTAAATTATTTAATAATTCATGTCAAATGGTCATGATCATTTCCCAGCATGGACAGGATCTCATGACTCATGAATCTGACGATCTCGTGCGGATTCTCGTGTTTACACGTGTGCATTAATGGAGTATCTGTGTACGGAGGCGTATTGCATTCACTTGAAGAAAAAAAATCTACTCTGTTTTTCTGAATTAACGAGTTAATTTTTCATGAGAAAAAAAATTTGCTCTGTTTTTCTGAATTAATGAGTTAATTTTTCATGAGAAAAAAAATCTACTCTGTTTTTCTGAATTAACGAGTTAATTTTTCATGAGAAAAAAAATTTTGCTCTGTTTTTCTGAATTAATGAGTTAATTTTTCATGAGAAAATTTTTTTTGCTCTGTTTTTCTGAATTAATGAGTTAATTTTTCATGAGAAAAAAAAAGTTTTTGATCTGTTTTTCTGAATTAACGAGTTAATTTTTCATGAGAAAAAAAATTTTTGCTCTGTTTTTCTGAATTAATGAGTTAATTTTTCATGAGAAAAAAATTTTTTGCTCTGTTTTTCTGAATTAATGAGTTAATTTTTCATGAGAAAAAAAAAGTTTTTGATCTGTTTTTCTGAATTAACGAGTTAATTTTTCATGAGAAAATTTATATTTGCTGTTTTTGTGAATTAACTCATTAATTCAGAAAAACAGAGCAAAAAAAATTCCATTAAAAATTAACTCATTAATTCAGAAAAACAGAGCAAAAAATGTTTTCTCATGAAAAATTAACTCATTAATTCAGAAAAACAGAGCAAAAAAAATTTTTCTCATGAAAAATTAACTCGTTAATTCAGAAAAACAGAGCAAATTTTTTTTCTCATGAAAAATTAACTCGTTAATTCAGAAAAACAGAGCAATTTTTTTTCTCATGAAAAATTAACTCATTAATTCAGAAAAACAGAGCAAATATTTTTTCTCATGAAAAATTAACTCATTAATTCAGAAAAACAGAGCAAAATTTTTTTTCTCATGAAAAATTAACTCATTAATTCAGAAAAACAGAGCAAATTTTTTTTCTCATGAAAAATTAACTCATTAATTCAGAAAAACAGAGCAAAAAATTTTTTCTCATGAAACATTAACTCGTTAATTCAGAAAAACAGAGCAAATTTTTTTTCTCATGAAAAATTAACTCGTTAATTAAGAAAAACAGAGCAAATTTTTTTTCTCATGAAAAATTAACTCATTAATTCAGAAAAACAGAGCAAAAAATTTTTTCTCATGAAACATTAACTCGTTAATTCAGAAAAACAGAGCAAATTTTTTTTCTCATGAAAAATTAACTCATTAATTCAGAAAAACAGAGTACATTTTTTTTTCTTCAACTGAATGTAATACGCCTCCGTATCTGTGCCTCACGTGTTGCAGGATGATTCCTCTGAGGATGGAGCGGCCGCACAACACCAGAGACAGGCCGCACACCACCGCCACCAGCACATCGAACGCCACGCGCGCATAACTGTCCGCTGGACACAGAGACACACAGGTTAAGCAGGAGAAACACACACACACACACACACACACACAGAGAGCGCTTGAAGTCGGCTCACCGTGTCCCGACACGTTAGGGTCTCGGCACTCTTTAATGGACGCATCGTTGAGCAAACTGAGCTTCACTTTACCGCTGTGAGCCTTGTTATCAAACAGGATCTGAAACACACACACACACACACACACACACAGAAAGCATCATGTGCTTAGAAAGGTTTTACATATTATATATTATTATAATAATATACATTTTGGGAATTTTTTTTAAAAAAAAAAGTCTCTTCTGCTCACTAAGATATAAAAAAATACAGTAAAAATGTGAAATATTATTATTATTATTAAATAACCGTTTTCTGTGTGAATATATAGTATAGATAATATATATAGAGAGAGAGAGTTTCCAGCATCATTACTCCAGTCTTCAGTGTCACATGACCCTTCAGAAATCACTCTAATATGATGATGTGATGCTCAAGAAACATTTATGATCATTATCAATGTTGAAAACATGACACATTAATGTTCAAAAGTTTGGCGTAAGATTGTAAAATGCATTAAATTGGTCAAAAGTGAAAGTAAACACATTTGTAATGTTACAAAAGATATCTATTTTAATGATGTTCTTTTGAACTTGATATTAAAATAATCCTGAAAAAATGAAAAAATTGTCAAATGTTGACTGTATTTTTGATTAAATAAATGAACATAAGAGACTTCTTTAGAAAAACAAAGATAAGATACCAAATCTTTAAATGACTAGGGCTGTCAACTGATTAATCGCATCCAAAATAAAAGTTTGTGTTTACATAATATATGTGGGTGCACTGTGTATAATAATTTCATATATATAAATACACACACATGCATGTATA